ACGTTAAGGATTGGATCATATACAATACACAACACATGCTGATAACACCTCCACAAAGCCCCGATTTAAATCCGATTGAGCACCTATGGAATCATCTAGATAAACGAATCCGAAATCATACAACTTTCAGTAAGGCCCAACTCAAAGAAATACTTCTGACAGAATGGGGTAAAATATCGTCGGACTACACTTAAAAAACTTGTAAACTTATGAAGTTTTAAAACTCAAGGGATATCCTACCAAATATTAGGTAAGTCAATTTAATTGTAAAAATTAAGTAATATTAAATAATTCATTATTTTTCTCTAGGGGTACCAAGATTTATGCTGTGCAAAAATATGGACTTGGCACTATGTAGATTTTGTTTTAATAAAAAAAATAAATATTGCTTTAATTTGTTTTAGTGTAGGATTGAATACATGAAATAAGATTATATAATTGATATTTTGTGAATTACTTTTTGAGGAATTACTGAATATATTTTGATTTGTATGGGGTACCAAGACTTTTGCTACTCAATGTATGTTTGTAACAGGCAAAAGGAAACGAGATAAACCCATGGTTCCTTTTGAGAATATGCATAGAATCACATTCTATGTCGATTTATGCATGTACGTCTGTCTGTCCATGTTAAATTGTAAAAAAAAGTACAGGTCGCATTTATGATCTGAATTGGATGAAATTTGGCATACATCATTTATTTGGCCCAAGGACGAACTCTATTGAAAATCGGTTCAGATTTAGATATAGTTCCCATATATATTTTAGTCCGATTTTAGTGAACCAAACTTCCTATATATCCTTCGATTTACACGAAATTAGGCACAGCGAGCTGAATTAAGTATAGAACGATGTGTGTTAAATATCGCGAAAATCGGTTCCGATTTAGATATAGCTTCTATATAACTTCGACTTGCACGAAATTTTACATGTGGTTCTTTACTACTTTCCTTGCTGGTTTTAATCTGTTTAATGGAAGTAAGAGAGATTTCGGAAAATAGTGCTTATGTGTATGAAGAGTATTAAATTGCAAACTATATTATAAAAAATTTACAGTATTCACGTTTCCATATGAAATATTTTTTGTATTCCCTTTCCGCATACGAAGTAGCGGGCACTTTGCTAGTAAGCAATATTTAAGCCGAGTTTGATGCATTTTGGAGGCGAAATACAGACATCTTGGGTGAAGATCTGTCTCTCAAGATAAAAATATTAAAAATTATGGAAAAATCAAATTTGCCTGATGAGCCGCTTAACAATGAAAAACTCAAATAAAAATTATGAAAGAATAAAAATAACGCTACTATTTTTTTTTTCAAAATTATCGTGTGCACTATTTGAAGGAAGAAATAAAGCAGTAGGAGCACATCATAAAATAACTGGTCACTTTAAGAATTTGGGGAAATAAAATATCGAAATTAAATAAAAAGGCCCACAATTATGTAGTGAAATAATAAACTGTGAATTAATTAATTCAATCGCAGACTTCTTCCCATTATTCGTTGTGTATTTGACATCGTTCATTGCGGTTTTTGTCATAATAAAAAAATGTCCTTTTGTTTGTAATCTGTAGAAATATAAGTGAGAAACGACAGAAATGACATCGACATTATCCTATCCAATTAATAGGCTGTGCAAATTTTGATACGTGGAAGAGACAAACCAAGTCGTACCTTATATTAAAAATTGGTGGAAAATAATAGAAAATGGTTTCCGAAAAGGAACAGGAGAACAATGAAAAGGTGTTGGCAGAAATAACATTGATGGTGGAACCCAATAATTTTCCACATATTGCTAATGCGAATACAGCAAAAGAGGCATGACAGACGTTGGTGAGTTCCTTTACAGACACCAGGTTAACTAGGAAAGTAGAGCTACTAAAACAGCAGGTACAGATGAAATTATCTGATTGTGACAACGTTGAACATTATCTGAACCGAATGATTATGGCATCAATGAAGGTACATCATCATCAATATTGATGATGAGTTAGTTGCATCCTTGATGTTGGCGGGACTTCCAGAAGAATTAAAGTCTATGGTGTTGGCAATGGAAAATTCCAAAACAAAATCGAGTGTGGATATGGTCAAATGTCATGGTTGTAAAAAATAGGGTAATTTCATAAGAAATTGTCCCAACAGAAAAAAGTTTGAAATGTGCAACAACAACCAAAAGAAAGAGACAGATGATAGGCTGCTGTTGACATCCCTTTTAACACCACATAACATAAATGCATATGATTGGTATATTGATTCAGGCTCAACTGCACATATGACAAATTCTAGATCGCTGTTGTCGAATACTGCTGGCAGAGAAGTAACGGTAGCGAACAAAAACACCATGAGATCTGAATGTGTTGGTGACGCACAGTGTCACGACCGCGGCCAAAAATGGTCAGAACCAACTTCCTCGGAGGACAAATTTATTGTTGAGAGTTGATAAAAAACACTCCAAGTTGAATAAATATGAAATTTGGTATTTATACGTCAAGTAGTTTTGTCTATACAGGGTTCAAATCTGATAATTGTTTGCAAACTGTTTTTTCCACTTTTTTTTCGAAAAATAGCTACATTTTTCTGATGCTAAAATCTTTAAATATTTAAATTAACGGTTAATATATAAGTGTTTGTTTTGGTTACTTGGGATGTTAAAAACTAGGATTTACTGATTTTTTTTATGTAAATAGAAACAATATGGAGTTTACAGCTATCCACGCCTGTAGTAATTAGTTCATATAATTTGTAAAACAAATTAGTGGAGTAGAACAAAAAAGTTTGAAAAGGTTTCGTCCTACTAATACTAATTTAACGCATTATTTAGCTCTTCTTTAGGAAAATTATAGTCTAAATTTAGGCAACGCACTTGCATTACTTTTATGGAAAGTCCATACAGAAACTTTTTCGTACATGGGAATGAAGATGTATAGTACAGTACTTTACATTTGGAGCGACCCGTTGTACGGCAGTTCTCGTAGGCGTAGTCATTTTTGGTCGGTATTATGTAAAATTTAGGACAACGCCAAATTATGTAATAGATTTTTCTTTTACTCTGTTACTCTCGTAGGCGTAGTCGAATGCGTTGTCGTAGTCGATTTTGTTCGGTATTATGTAAAAATTACGACAACGCCAAATTATGTGATAGATTTTTCTTTTACTCTGTTGCAAGGTAAAAATTGTATTTTTAGAAACCTTTTTATTGGTCTGTTCCCGTACTGCAAGAATCTACTACTTTTTACTACGATAACGAATTTTCCTTTATGATATCGATAAAAATAGTAAAATCTAGTACATTCTTGCAGTACGGGAACAGATCATATATTGTATAGGAAAAACTATGTAATTTTTGGTACGATAGCACTTTTTTCCTTTATGATATCGAAAAAATAGTAGAAAGTCGTAGATTCTTGCAGTACGGGAACAGGCAATTTGTTTGTTTTCTAATTAGTTTTCTGGTAATTGTAATTCTTAAGAATATTGAGAAATGCAATAAAATAAAGTCTAATGTAATAGTTAACCAATAAATTAAAATGCGTTAAAATTCCATTTGAACAACAATTTTAACACATTTTTATATTTTTTTGTATGCTGTCGTCAAAAAAATCTTTCACGACAGATTTGGCGTTACAATACGCAACGCCTTTTATAATACCGATTTGTCGTGTAAATACGACAGTGCCAAATTTTCAACACGACTACGCCAACCGTAATAAGGGTGAATAATCTTATTCAGTATTTTATATAACAATCCGAACCTGTTATATCCTTGAACATCCAATAAATAAATTAATACAAATAACAATACAAATATAGTCTTGATTTAGATTAGGCGAGTTTACTTGCGGCAAGTCTTTGTTTGTAGGAGAGAGGGGCAAGGGGAATAGAAATGGAAAAAAATTGCTCGTACCGACAATTTTCTGGCAATTCGTTTTGTGTATTTCGTATTTTTTGACATTTTATATTTATTTAAATGTGAAAAAACTATTTGAAACAAATAAAAAAAATTTTTTGAAACCGAATTGCCTTGTATAGACGCATGAAGCAAGTTCAAAAGAGAACGATAAGAATTGCCGCAAGTAAACTCGCCTAATCTAAATCAAGACATAGTGGTGAATAGTGATTTTATGGTATAGAATAGTTACTTATTCAGGAATATAATTACTTTTTTTTGGTTTTAAGTTGTTGGCCGGCCTCCCGATGGTCGAGTATTAACAGCGCCACCACCAATTAAGTAGACTTTGTCTACGAGCCTTGGGTTAACTTTTGACATTATTTTCCTTAATAAATTTGACTAAATCGTAAAGATGATTCCAATTATGTTTTTTAATGAAATCCTCTACTATTTGGATTCCATTGAACGACGCAAACTTGACTCTGGTGGTGGTGAATCTTGTGCAAACAAACAAAATGTGAGTGGCCGTATCTTCCGTCTTGCAAACCTGGCACTCACCAGAACCGACTTTGGCCAATGTGCTGTTGCTGAAGGTGTGGTTACTCAGTATGCGGTTAATCACTCTCTGATCATCTGGATGTATTTTCGTTTTACTATAGCATGGGTGTTTAGATGGTTGAGAAAAAATTTTATAAAAATGAGAGGAGCTCCGTTCAGCTATGGATTTGCATTCATCAGCCCATTCTGCCCATACTGACGCTTGAATTCTGCAAATAGCACCCTTTATTGGCCACATTAAATTCAGGCAAGTGCCATTTACTGGTGCATTCTTTGCTGCCTGGTCTACCAGCTCATTGGAACCAATCCCTGCGTGTAATGGAACTGAGTTTCTATACCCGCTGTATTGATGATATCAATACGTTCATTTATCAAATAATTTTTGTTCTGTGTGGATTCTACTGCCGCAATACCACTTAGACTGTCAGTCAATATAGCAATGTTCTTTAAATTCCGTTCCTTTGCAAATAGAGCGACTTGGCGAAAAGCTAGAATTTCCTCCGACATAGATGACCACCTCCCACTGACCCAGAATGCTTCAGTAGTATTACTGCTTAAACCGTCACCGAACCGTCTGTGAAAAAAATGTCTATGCCAGACTCCTGAATCTTGCTTATTTTCTTTCGAACAAGTTGTTTCACCACCTCCTCACTTACACCTCTTTTTCTAGAGCCTACACCCTCAAAGAAGTCCACATCACTTGAAATACGCTTGCTTGCAACGGGCATGATTCGTATCGTTGCCACATTTTCTACAATTTGCTGATACTTGTCAAACACTATCGTATAACTAGTTGTTCTGTTCTGCATACGCCTGATATTCTCCAGACTTGGCAATCCAAAGGCCTTGGCTTTGACTAACTCCTTGGCTGTTGCCAGCTCAAATCTGTATTTTGGGGGTAATTCACACGCAAGCTGATATAAAATGGGTACAGGTGTGGAATGGATGAGACCCAAAGCCCTGCGTAAAAACTTGTGCGTACTAGTCTTGATTTTACTAGCAGTTGCTTTTGTAAGATGGGATAATACAGATGCTCCATACTCCAATTTTGCTCTGGCAAACGCCTTGTAGAAATGCATGGCTATGGCTGGGGAGATTACAAAGCTGCATCCACTCAAAATGTGAAGGAAGTTGTTAACTTTATCTGTCGATGTTGTAGCTTCGTCGATGTGTATCTTAGAAGAGCCGCCAGCAGAAATGACGAGACCCAGATACTTGATGTTTGCCACCTGCTTGATTGAAATACCATTAATGCATATACTCATTTGTTTAGGCCTTCTTGAGAAGTGAACGGTGTTAATTTTATTCATATTAAAACCCAGACCTAGCCGTTTACAGTCCTCGTGGAAGCGGCTAATTCTTTCAGTGAGAATTTCACTACCTTTTTGGAAGTTTTTGTGGTGGCAAACCAAGAAGAAATCATCCACAAACTGAAAGATGTCGATGTTACTGGAATTGATGTCATGCAGGGAAGACACGTCGATATTAAAGAGCAACGGGCTGATACCACTTCCTTGGGGAAGACCATTAACTACAATTCTTCTACTCTCACACAACTCCAACTGTCTGCGTTTCATACTGTCCACAATCCATTTGATTATGTGTGGATTATACCCTTTCCGAAACATTAATACCGCCAACTGATTTATGTTCGTATAATCGTACGCCTTCTCCATATCAATACACACTCCAACCACTTGATTGCCAGACTTTTTATAGAATTCAATGGTGTTGATCACATCGTTGATGCACATGGACGTGGATCTACCCGGTCTAAACGCATATGATCTAGGGGGAACTATCCGGTTATCTTCAGTAAAACGAGGAATAATACTCTTGATAGCGCTCTTACTCTTGATAGCGCTTGATAGCGCTCTCCAAAATCTTTTGTGATGTGCACATAAGTGAAATTGGGCAATAATTTTGAATGCTTCCAGGATCTTTGCCCCTCTTTGGGATCGGAGAAATCCCAATTCTCCTCCATTCGCTCGGAAAGCTACCTTTGTTCAATATTTCAACCAGAATATTGAAGAACTTCTGCCTTTCATTTGCTTTAAGACTTTTAATCATTTTATACGATACACCATCTGGACCTGTTGCTGACGTAGGGCTCCTAGGGTCGAGAAAGGCTTCAAAGCACTTAGTGTCCAAGGAAGGCCTTTGGCTTATCAAGTTCCCGAAGACTATGGGTGCGTCGTTACAACCAGATGTGGACTGCTATGTTATAAAATCAAGAAACTCTTCATTTTGTTCATGATTCCATGAACTATTTATCGGCTTGACTTTGCTGTACTTTTTAGCATTCCTAAGGTTAGACCACATATACTTACTTGAAATAGGATTGTTCAACTGGCTGAGAAATTTCCTGAAGTTTTCGTGTTGCTCGTAGTCTAACTGACTTGAAGACTTGCAGTATTAATAAAAGTGAGGCCTATAGCAGATTGACTGGTGCTCGTAGAAAAAGTAGGGTCTCCGTTGCTCAGGCAACTAAAATCATACTCATTTGCCAGTGTAAGCACGATGTCACCTTGCATGTCCGTTGCCGAATTGCCCCATGACGTTGCTTTCGCATTAAAATGTCACATTATGATAGTGACTCCACTAAGACTCGAAGCAGACTCGAAGACACTCTTAGCTATCTGCCGATATTGATCTCGGTGCAAGTTAGGTGGAATGTAAACTGATAGTATATTCATATCTCTTTTGAGATTAGTTGTGCTAATGCCCACAATTTCAAATTCGGTGTTGATGTTGATTAAAGCAAACTTTATTTCTCTTTTCAGTAGGATACCTACCCCTCCATACCCGTCAGATCTAGCTTTACTGACAAAATTATAGTTTCCAAAACTGGCATTGGAATTATCTTTAACCCAGGTTTCAGATGTTGCAGCAATGTCGATGTTTTCATACTCTAGAAAAAGTTCCAACATGTCTTTATTTTAACGCTTGCTGATACTCTGAATATTCAACCTTATTACGGTAGGCGTAGTCGTTGTACAGCAGCTCTCGTAGGCGTAGTCGATTGCGTTGTCGTAGTCGCTTTTGGTCGGTATTATGTAAAATTTTCGACAACGACAAATATTGTAATAGATTTTTCTTTTACTCTGTTACAAAACCAAATCAAAAATTTTTCTTTTAGAACCCTTTTTATATTGTATTGGAAAAACTATGTAATTTTGTTTGTTTTCTAAATAATTTTTGTGGTAATTGTAATTCTTATGAATATTGAGTAATGCAATAAAATAAACAGCCTTATTCTGGATGTCAATTCCACGTGAATTTACTCGCTCTTCCCCTTCGTCTTATTCTGAACAACATTTTTGTGTGAATTTTTTTCGCATTCTCGCTTTCGCCTTATTCTGAATGAAGTTCGAAAGCGAAAAAATCCGCTTTGGGGAAAAATTAGGCATTCTGGATTACAGGGAGTAGGAGAATGAGATGAAATTTTGTGCGAATTTTTTCGCTAATAAATTCAAAGTGAGTTGACTACAAAAACATAAGTAATAAACATTTTTATGAAAAATATTAACACAATACTTATTCTATGACGATTTAGAATATTATAAATGATAGTAAGCAAATATTTATCTGGAAAACAGCAAATAAAATACCTTTGGAAATCTTATTGATAATGATGCATGCTAAACCAAATATTGCCAAGGAATGTATAAAGGTAATAATGAATATTTAAGTCGAGTTTGATGCATTTTGGAGGCGAAAAACAGACATTTTGGGTGAGGATCTGTATCTCAAGAAAAAAATTATAGAAAAACAAAATTTGCCTAATGAGTGTGAACAGTGAAAAACATAAATAAAAATTATGAAACCAAAAAAAAATATTTTTTTTCAAAATTATCGTTTGCATTATTTGAAGGAAGAAATAAAGGAGTAGGAGCACAACAGGCCACTTTAAGAATTTGGAGAGATAAAATATCGAAATTAAATAAAAAGGCACACAATTATGTGCCTGTGTTTTTCTCATCATAAAAAATGTTCTTTTATTTGTAATCTATTGTAGTTGTTGTACCAAAATGCATCAAAACAATGAACAGCTGTTTCAAATGTCATATTGTAGGCTGCCATATTTTCAAACTTTAATTAATATTCTTTTAATTACAAAGCATTTATAAAGCGGATTCTTGATATTTCACATTTATATTGTTATAAAATTTAAACCACAATAACAAGTAACAATTTTTAATAAAATAATCAAAAAATAAAATATTGAAAAATATTACACAATTAAATTACAATGGGGCAACACACATTACAACTTAAATTACAATATGGCAACACACATTACAACTTAAATTATAATATGGCAACACGAATCTTTTTTTCAACCACCATTTTCAAATACTCGAATCCGCATCTCGCATTTTTTGCGTCTCCATATTCATTCAGAATAAGGCGAGAATGTGAAAGCGAATATTTTTGTATGTGCGAGATATCTCCCAGCGAATATCCAGAATAAGGCTGAAAGTTGAATGTAACAGTTAATCAGTAAATATTTTTAAAATGCAATTTTAACACATTTTTATATATTTTTGTATGCTGTCGTCAAAAAAATCGTTCACGACAGATTTGGCGTATTGTAACGCCTTTCATAATACCGATTTGTCGTATAAATGCGACAGTGCCAAATTTTCAACACGACTACGCCATCCTTAATAAGGGTGATTATATTGTAATAATTTCATGATGGATTTGGATTTGGACATAACAAACAATCAGTAACATACTTCAACAGCATCTTCATTGTATTGTACACTGGAACTTATAATGAATGACTGCAAATCAATAATCTGCCTGACAAGTTTCTCTTTGATTGCATTCAAAACTCTCGCTTGACTGTTAGTCAGGGATTTCTCTCCCGACTCCGCCACCGCACTGACCTCTTTCTCCATTTCCGACAAAAAATTTTCTAGTTCGGTTACTTTGTGCATGCTCTTTAAGGCGACCCCGTTTCCTGACTGGTAGACCTCACCACACCTCAACGCTTCCTATACTCCTTCATGTTTTTTACCGCGTTAGCCTCCTCTCTTCACCGATTCTGGCTGTTCTTGACTACCTTCGCAAAAGATCTAAAGCTATGCAATGATCTAGCAGACTGCATTGCATTACTAAGGGTTTCCCTTTTGTCCGCGTTATTCCTTGACTTGTCATATCTGCTTCTTAAAGGAGGGAAAGCCACATCCAAATTTATTCGTGCATCTCCTAGTGCTAAATTTTCAATAGTCATGATCTTCTATCCAATGGTGAGTGATTACCATTGCAGTTGGGGCACACGATTCCTTCTGCTCATTTTTCGGCTTCATTATGGACGGTGAAACATTTCCTGCATGACACAACATTTTGCTTGCAGTGCTCCGCAAAATGATTATGCCGGTAACACTTATAGCACGTACTAAAGGAGATGAAATACTTGACATCCATCTTAGTATATTCGAAAAAACGAACCGTTTTCGGAAGCTCCAGACCTTTAAAAACTATCTTCACCCTCGGGGTAGGCTCTATTTGACCCTTCTCCTTCCGATTCATTCTAGTTATACTTAATATTTCCTTATCAGAGGATATTGCCTTGACTAACTCGTCCTGCGAAAGATCAGTAGGCACTCCAAAGATTACTCCAGCCTTAGGTACAAAATGCGCAAAGATTTAGCAGATGTAGTCCTCATTCTTTAGAGCTTGGTTAGACGCCAATATATTTGCTTCAAAGCCATTTCTGCAAGTTACTTTTGCCCTGCCGAAACCAATTTTGGCAACTTCCAAAATGACGGGAATTCCAAGATTCTTCATTATTTTCGCTAGAGCTATAGTGTTTATAGGGGCTGACCGACCAGCGGCATCAACACGATCAACGTAGACTAAATATGGACCCGTATGGTCACGTTCATATCTAAAACTATAATTATTCTTAATTTGACTCATTGCTGGTTGACTTGCCGAAACTACTTGAACCGACGACACTGCATTAAAACTTGGTGTTCCTTGGGTTGCCATAAGACTTCCATTTTCATTAGATGAGAGAGACTCATCAGGGCGCAACTTTTTGGCATTACAATTTCTACTATTACTCCTACTTCTTTCACTATTTCTGCTACCCTGCCTCAAATCAGGCTTGCTTGGCGGAGGGGGAATATTTATTCCCTCCTCCATTCTCGCACACTCTCTTCACAGCAACAACAGCACAACGACGCTACCACCACACACACAACAATACGAGGTACAGCAATTAGAAAGAGACGACCGTATGATCGTCAGAAACCGCTATCCTCGGACGCTTGAAAGTTCTAGAACTTTTTGAAACAAGAACCAGTTCTAGAACTTTTTGAAACAGAAGTCTGGTAACTCTTGAAGTGTTCTGACGTGTTTTTTGTGGTGTTCGAAATCAGTGTTAATAAATATTATTTATTTTGAATCGATACCCTTCAAAAATCTTTTTGTTTCAAAAATTGTGATTCCTAAATAAAATAAGTGCATTGTGAAATCTCACTTTTAAATAAAAAAATTGAAGTGATAAGTTAAATTTGTTTTCGTGCCTTATTGAGTTTGCAATTGTGTGTTATTTTCTTTTTGTAATTTTCGTTTTTGAAATTTCTCTGTTTTTTTTTCTTTTGTTTTCACATTTCTGTTTTTATTGATTGTTTTTAAATATTTTTTTGTGTAGCATATTTTTAGGCACTTACTTAAAATAATGGCTTGCTTATACGAAGGTTGTACCATTACAAGCACAACTGAGCGGCTTACTGTCAATTTTAATCGAATCTCGGTCCGATATATTCTGTTTTTGGTCAGTTGCTTTATGGACCTAAGTAGATACAAATTCCCAATCTTCGTTGAATTTGGTTGAAAATTACAGATTTTATGGGCCAAAAAATGTGAAATTCTCAAGACCCTCTATATGGGAGGTATATAAAATCTTAGTCCGATTTATCCCATTTTTCGTTTGTCGCTTTCCAGACATAAATAGATAAAAATTGCCAATATTCATTGAATTTAGTTGAAAAGGGTAAAATTTTCAAGACCTACTATATGGGAGGTATACCAAATCTTGGTCTGATTTATCCAAAAATGACAAAATTAAATTTAATTGAAATGAAAATTATGTTTTTAACATGTTCATCTGGAAGTAATTATTTTGTCATGGATGAAACAAACATTTGATGGTATTCCCTACTGGATTTTGGGAAGAAATCACAACCTTTCATTCATTCGTATACACACTTCACATTTCTGTCAGAAATGTGTATACGAGTGTGTATACGAGGTTCGTTCGTTCAAGGAGGAAGGCCATCGAGCGACAGAATTGTTGGAACTCGTCCACTCTGCCCACTCTGGTGCGAGGTACATCGTAACATTCGTGGATGACTTCTCGGTGTCAATTAAAAACAAATCTGATGTCTTTGAAACGTTTAAGCATTTTAAAAGTATGGCTGAGAATCAGTGTTCGAAGAATGGAGCATTCCAAAAGTGTTTGTTTGTATGGAATAAAAAATCAGCGCCGTATACTCTGCAGCATATTCCAAAAAGAGGTACGATGTCCTAAGAATATTTGGATGTAAGGCATACGTGCATATTCCAAAGTCGCAGAGATCAAAACTTCAGGCCAAATCAACAGAATGCATATTCGTGAGGTATAGCCAAGAAAGTAAGGCATACCCGATGACGAAGAAAATTATAACCAGCCGTGATGTATTCATGGAAGATCTGGTATGTAGATCTGATACAGATATCACGCATTCAACACAACCAAGTAGTAAAAGTAGTCGAGATCGCAGATGTACTCGAGAATGCAGATGTTTCCATTGATGGTCTAAAGGTTAAGTTCGACGATTGTTCTGACGACAATATGCAAGCAAGAACTTCCACCTAAGTACTTGCTTCAAAGACACGAACGAATTTTAGTTTTTGTTCTACTACGTTTATTGCAAATAACCCTACAACCCTGGAAGAAGCCACGAAATCGAGCAATTTTAAAGAATGACGTTGTGCAATGGACGAGGAAATAAATTGACTTGCACAGAACAAAACAAGATCTACCAATCGGAAGAAAACCCTTGAAATCCAAATGGGTCTTCAAAACAAAATCAAATGGGTCAGGGTCGAAAACTCGCACATAAAGCAAGATTTGTTATAAAGGGCTGCCGTCAAACAGAAGGCATCAATTATGAGGAGTCGTTTGCTCCCGTAGTGCGATACTCTTCGATCCGTTTATGCATGCATATTCACCAACTCGATACAGTGACGGCATTTCTCCATGGCGAGCTTAAGAAGGAAATCTACATGATTCAAACCGAAGAATTTGAAGATGGCTCTGATGTTTCTGAGTTTGTTTATTGAGAAAAGCACTGTATGCCTACATATGTACTTGGTATGAGAATTCAGCGAACAGAAAATTGTGTCAAGTTTGATCAATCGAGTAATGCGTTATGCGCGTAATGCTCTAGAAAATGTCTAGTCTACACCAAGTCAGGCGGTAACTTAATTGGCTTTTGTGATGCTGATTGGGCCGGAAACGTAGACGACAGGAGGTCGACTACAGGCTACATGTTTACCATGCAAGGAGGAGCAATATCATGGTGCACAAAAATATAACGTACAGTAGCCTTGTCGTCGACAGAAGATGAGCTTATGTCAGTGATTGCGGCAATGCAAGAAACAGTTTGGTTTCAATGATTGGAACAAGAGTTATTGAATGTGTCCAGCGCTGTTGCATTACACTGCGATAATAAGAGGGCAATTCAAATAGAACGAAATACCTCCTACTCTTCGAGAACCAAACATGTTGATGTAAGAATCAAATTTATTCGACAACATTTTGAACCTGGTCATATTAGTCTGGAGCATTTGGAAACAGGAAATATGCAGTCTTATTCTGGATATTCGCTGGGAGATATCTCGCATGTAAAAAATTTTTCGCTCTTACATTCTCGCCATATTCTGAATGAATAGTGAGACGTAAAAAATGCGATATGCGGATTCGAGTTTTCGAAAAGGGTGGTTGAAAAAAAGATTCGTATTGCCATATTGTAATTTAAGTTGTAATGTGTGTTGCCATATTGTAATTTAAGTTGCAAATTAAATATTTTTCAATATTTTATTTATTGATTTTTTTATTAAAAATTTTTACTTTTTATGGTTATTTAAACTTTATAAAAATACGAATGTGAAATATCAATAATCCGCTGTATAAATGCTTTGTAATTAAAAGAAAATAAATTAAAGTTTACAAATATTGCAACCTACAATATAGCATGTGAAACAGCTTCTCATTGTTTTGATGCAATTTGGTGCAACAACTGCAATAGATTACAAATAAAAGAACATTTTTTATGATGGCAAAAACACAACGTATAGTGGGAAGAAATCTGCGATTGAATTAATTAATTCACAGTTTATTATTTCACTACATAATTATGTGCCTTTTTATTTAATTTCGATATTTTATCTCCTCAAATTCTTAAAGTGGCCAATTATGATTTGCTCCTACTCCTTTATTTCTTACTTCAAATCATGCACACGATCATTTAAAAAAATATTTTTGTAGCTTTATTTTTGTTTTTTCATAATTTTTTTCCCTGTTAAGCGGCTAATCAGGCAAATTTGGTTTTTCCATAATTTTTAAAATTTGCATTAAACTCGACTTAAATATTCCTTATTACCTTTATACATTCCCTGGCAATACTTGGTTCGTTTTCGAACTTCATTCACAATAAGGCGAAAGCGAGAATGCGAAAAAAATTCACAGGAAAATGTTGTTCAGAATAAGTCGAAGGGGAAGAGCGAGTAAATTCACGTGGAATTGACATCCAGAATAAGCTGATGGTAGCTGACATATTCACCAAAGCTTTGACTGCCGACAAATACAAATTCTTTTCCACTATATTTGGGCTAATACAAGGTA